TTTCTTCTGACTGGCTGTCAAATAACTCTACCGAAACATCATTTCAGAGGCAATTTCATTTGATTTCGGTGAAGGAATGTCAAGCTTTTATTTTTCATATAACAAAAATCCTCAAGGCGACTATCAATCTTTCAGGCAGACTCGTCACGAAAACTCGTCGGCTCATCTCTGAATGTTGTGTTACTATTGTTGAGTTTACTCCCATTTCGAGTGAAAATGTTTGGTGAAGAGATTCGAAGGTTGCTTCCACCAGGAGACGACGGTGGATTCTTCTCGACCAGCTGTCGATTGGCTTTACTGGAACATTCATGCTGACGCTGTTTTACGAAGCAATCTTATTCGATTCCGGTGAAAAGGTGCTAAGCTGTCGTCTGTGGTATGACGTACATCATCTGAGCAAAGTGGGTATCAACGTTACAGCAAAACTGAAGCTAGCAAGTCAAGAAAACTCACCGGAAAATACCTAAAAAGTGGTATATATTCTCTACATCTAGCCTCTTCGATCAAGTATATGACTAACCAAATCACTTATACTTTAGCAAAGAGGTCTGATGTAGACAAGATGTACCACATTTTAGGGATTTGCCGGTGAGTTTTCTGGACTCCTTAGCTTCAATTTTGTTGTGATGGTGTTAACTCGCTCCGATGATGTTGGTCATGTGACGAACGAAAGCTTAGAACCTTTTCACCGGAATCGAAGGAGATTGCCTCGGAAACAGCGTCAGCATGAATGCTCCAGTAAAGCCAATCTACAGCTGGTCAAGAAAAATCCACCGTCGTCTTCTGGTCGAAGTGATCTTCTAATCTCTTCACTCAAAATGGAAGTAAGCTCAACAATTATGAAACAAGAGATTCCTCAAAACCAAACTTTTCTTCGCATATATTGTGTTACTATACCTAAAATATATGCTTTGATGAGGTATAAAGTTGTTTGCATATTTATTTGGTAGATATACAGTATTTGTGGGCAAACCAGTGCATTTTATCGGCAAGTGGAGACGGTGTCAGCAAGAATGTTTCAGTAAATCAACCTATGAATCTCTTCATCAAATACGCTTTCATTCGAGATGGAGGAGTGTTCAGCAAATAGAAATGTATAGATTGCTAGAAACCTGAATTTTTTTTGCTTAACTTGTGCCTGTAATCTCTTTTGGGCAGCCGGTATTAAGTGAAGTTGGTGAAGTAGCGTTGAATATCGAGCCAGCAAAGACGTCAAACAGATCAGATCTGAAAAGTATGTATGATTTAGGATGTTTTCTATTTCTGAAACGTCTTTTCTTTTAAAACTCGACAACATACTTGTCCAGATGATTAAAAACTTTAGTGGCCTACAGCCTGTCGTTGCCTCGGGCCTCGCTTTGTCTAGGCAACGTCGTTGGGGATAGTTTCGTCTGAAGCAGAAATCAGTGGAAAAATAGAAAAAGGAAATCAAGAAAAGCGTGTTCTCATTGGAAGAAGAGACTGGAAATCGGCAGATAACCGGATATGTAGGGTAAGAAACACTAGCAGTGAAGACCAACTAGCAGCCTTAATTCAAATTATACTATATATTATAATAGTAGTAGTAGTAGTAGATACTACTTACAAAACCAATATTTTTCAAATATCTCAGGTATTGCTAAAATAACATATTCAGCAGCATTTCTGCATTCGAGAAATCCTATTCGGACCATAACCCTGATATTTGCTGAGGTTTGGCCTAGAAACAGCCATTATGGTGAAGTTTCCAGTGGTTTTCTTCGAACCTGTAGACACATGATGCGAGTTTCTGTATGCTGTGGCATTTGTGCGTAATTATTTATTTTATTAGCTTAGACCCTCATAAGCCTTAGTAATATAGTATTGATAAGTGTGTATCGTTTCGTCTTCTTTACTTGTTTCTAGGGACTGCTTGATCACAGCAGCTGTGAACTCCTTCACGAGCCTCTTCGCAGGATGCACTGTATTCACTTATCTTGGACATTTGGCATTTCTCATGCAAAAACCTGTAGAAGACGTGGTCGGGCATGGTAGGTTGAATATTTTAAGCAGAAAATAAATGAATTTGTAAGTTCTAATTCTGGGTTATTTAGCTGATTTTCTCTGGCACTCCAACAGAATCTATTTTGACGAAGAATAAAAGAATATTTATGGACCAACAAGGTCTATCACAACTTTTCACTTATAGTCATAAACTGATTGTCCAAAGTCTCACAAAGTCTTTAAGCAATGTAAATTACTCTTGAGAGGGATGTTTAATATAGCTTCACTGTACTGATCTTCAAGATACTCACGACTCGGTAGCTAATCCTGCTGCAGTTGGTGAGGAGGCCCAGCTTGGTCAAGAGCTTTTGGGAGAGGTTTATTAAAATACAACAGCATCGTGAGGCCAACTCATCCGATTGTGGTAGAAACTCAACAATTGCTCCTTGCATCATTTTAAGCGAATTAGGCTGATCTATTTTCTGCTTAAGAATTAAGGAATTATCTTAAAACTACTCATATCTAAAACAAGTAGT